TTGTTCAAATATATATTTGATTATTTTGTTTGTTTTATTATTTATTCATATCATTTTTGTCTTTATTGATTTATAGATATATATTCATTTATTTATTTATAAACTGGCTTCCATATTTTTTTCATTGACGTTAAAGCAGGCCCATTTTTATACATTTTTGTGATAATATTCCCTAGTTATAGGTTTAAACTAGTTTTTGCGCGATTTGCGTGTGAGTAGTCTTCTGGTAAAGAAACTGGGGACTTGTATACTCTGTTTTAGTGCTGCTTTCTTCCGAGGCCTCATTGAACGTCCAGGAATCAATCCTCTCAACATTAAAAAAGTTTTCAACTTTTTGTTCAGTGGTGCTCCGGACACTGAGGTGATTTACCCTTATTATATTTCAATGGCAAGCTTAATTGATTTAATGGTCTTAGGTAATCGTTGGTGTCAATAATGAGTTTGTGACTATTATTGACGGTGTCAAGCATGATCTCCTACTTGTCCAGAAAATACGCGACTGTTCTTGGAGAAAACTGATATAGTTAGTTTGCAATTCATTTCGTTTCTTTGGTTCCTGCGACTTGAAAAGTCTGTGGCTGAATTTGTATAACTTGGTTAAGCTCACCGGAAGAAATAAGAAAAGGTCATCAACACTTGCTGTTCCTATCGTTTCCGGATGACGATTATATAAAGTCTCGTAATGACTTTATATCAGGAAAAGCTGAACAGTTAGCTTCCATGAAGATGAATATATTGCACGTAAGTTCTGCACGATATAATACATCGTATTTAGCCGTTCTAAATATGGAAAATTTAGATTTTCTCAAGCCAGACAATGCTCTTGAATGCTATGCTGAACTCGGTAAAGACTACCATCAAGGATGATGATATTATCATAGACGAGGTAAAATTAACTTAGGTTTCATGCATTTCGAGATTTATGTGTTAAAATTTTGGGAAGTGACATTTTGAGAAAGCAAACCTTTCTTCAAAAAAGGGCTGTATGGTTACCTCAGCTGATATGGATTTAAATGATGAAAAAATCATTGAGTTCTAACTTTCCGAGTCGAAAAGCCGCTACGACAATTTAAGTTATCGAATTCTAATCGATTGCTGATAGGAGCGTCGTATCCATTTTGCATGGTATGGTCACAAGGGTAATCGAAGTCTTTTGCCAGAATAGTGATCTTGACCACTCTATCGTTTGTATACCGCATGGTAAGACATTTTTGTTTGGAATAGATATCTCTTTTTTGATAAGGATATTAGTCCTCATACACCTTTCAGCCAAATCTGTTATTTTGACCGTCTATCGTCGAACTACCATAAACTTACATGAGTTCATATTACAAGAAATGGATATGCTTGATCAGATAACCTTAGATAAAATTCCGGAGAGGTCCATGATTTCGGGACGCAAAAAGGACAATATCACCAAGTAAACCATCTTGTAGAGCGTTCCGTTCTTTTGAATGGTTTGTGAATCCATGCCAAAATTTTGACTCTGTGGGATTTTATGATGGGCCTCAAAGAAGCCGCATGAACTATTTAGGCATTATTTTTTTCTCAAGAGAGAAACCATTTCTCTCTCAAAATTTTGCGGCTTGTTCCGCTCTATCGTGCACTTTGCTGCAGAAAAATTATGAGAAGTTGGGAATTATCAGAAAGAAAAACAACTTTGATCGGCTAGTGATAGGAGAACTTTACTGTACCAAATGTTATCCGAATAATGGAAGCTAACTGTCTGTAATTACTGACTAGTTAATGTCGTCGAAAGTATTTCACGACACCTTGATTCGCTTAGACATAGCTCCCAGATGATTACAAGTACAAGTGGATCTTATAAGCAACACAGGATTTGATAAAGCTCTTGTGAAACATTTTGAAACTACCTACTTTGCCTGCTCAACAGCTCGGGAACTGCTCTCATTTTTAGTGAACATGAAATCGTAATGATGGATCTTCTATCTGGCTTACAGAATAGGCTTTACCATGCTGCCGGGTGGTCTAACGATTTGTATATGTTTCCCTATTAGCACATTTTGGTGCATTGTAATCAGTAAATGCCCTAAATTGGGCAAGTAATGATTAAGTAACTAAATCTAAAATATTATCTTGTTCAGTAAGGATGTTAGGAAGTATGCATGAAGTTTTGAAATGCACAAATATTCCTTGTTATCTTGCTTAAATCTCAATTTGGAACCTTGAGGATTAGTGGCATTGGTTCGCAGAAAGTTTTTTTTTGTGCAAGTTTATGCTAGAGGCAACTACCATGAGAAAGCTGTTATTTGAAAATTTGAAGTCTGTTGGAAAAAAATGGAAAATAAAAATCATTAGAAGTACCACTCATAAGCTTTCATACCTCCCATAATCTCGATGTTAATGAATCATTTTCAGACTGTCACCGAGCAGTCAACACCTTCAACCGGCTACCCTGTTGCAGGTCGTGCAACAGTTGCTCGTACTCCATCACTGTCGAAAAGCCATCGCATGTGCTTAGCCAGTTTCGAGGATGGTAAATTTGTAAAAGCCAAGGGCAGCTATAAGAAAGTGAATTGGGAAACTGTCCAACGGAAAGGCATCGAAGTTATGTTGTAGCAAATTTGTGTACATATATTGTTGAGTTCAATATGAGGCGGTTGTTCGCATTTGAGCTCAGGGATTTGCTATTGCGACTTAAATTGCCAGGCCGCACACTTTTTTTCTGACTCTTCACTGTTAGTCAAAGAAGGCGTATCGTTCCTTACTTCGGTATTCATCCGAACGACGCGTATTTGCTGCCTTTAGAGTTCAAATTGCTTTGTCATCACTCTGCGATAATCACTTCATTCTTAACTAGTAACTCATTTAGAAGTTGTGTTGCTGTAACAAAGCACAATTTTATTCTTGACTAGTCATATTTTGGGAAGGTGTTACTACATTTCTTCTCGAACTGGGGGATACGCGGTCACTCAAAACTTTAGCATTCTTTTGTTTGTAAGTCAGAATTTCATGGAACTCAGAAAATATCCAAATTCTCTCAATTTCACACCAAATCACTTTACTTGCAAATCATTCATTTTTATCTGTACCACAAAGTCAATTTTGTCTTTTATTTCCAATTTAAAACCCCAACTTTTCATCAGCCTTACCTAGTTAAACTCTTACCTGTTCGCTGCGTCAATGCTATATTTTTCTTTGCTTCAACTCTGGATGTTTATCTAGTGTCAGGCTTTTGGGTGGACCAAGGTTTCAGTAGTTAGCAGTAAAAAACGAGCCTCTTCTACGGGTAGAAGATTACTACGCTATTCAACTCTCACTTGTCTATTGTGTTAGTTACACATGAGCTCGTTTATTTCACTTCTGTAGATATGCTCAAATCAGATTGGAAAGGAATAAATTTTTACATGGTTGTAAAACAAGTTGTAAAATGTAAATATATCTCGTCCTGTAAAAAGGAGAGAATGGATGGGCCCGCGTTGTGTACACACTTCCTATTGGCAAACTCTCCGATAAGTTTGTTCTTCTCTCCAGTAGAGATTAGAGAAATAAATTTGAAATCATAGAATTATAGGATGTTGAAACGGTCGAAAGGTTAGAATCTAGTCACATTGATACAAGTGTGCGATGGTAATTTTGACGTAGGCATCTGATGAACAACTGATACATTGATTGAGTTGGAAAGGTCATGTAGAACGCCTTAACGGAAATCGCGGAAGAAGAAGTTTATGTGGCATTTGGAAATAGTTTTGCAACATTTCCAACTACGACGCAAAGTGGCCCATCGCAAGCTATTTAGTTGAAGATGTGACGTCGCACTACATACGTAACGGTTGGACGTGAAAACCATTGCTATAGAAGGTGGCGACTTCAAGCAAGCAATGCTTTGGCTCAATATTTATTATTCTTTCAAGATTATGCAATAGAACGGAGACTGAGACACAGACCCTTGGGTTGCCAATAAAGCCCTAATCGAATTGACATCCTGATGCAGCTTATCTTCATTTGTGACTACATCTCGCCCTTGGAGTACCATTTCTAAAATCACAGTAGCTAGTATGCTGCAGTCAGTTGAGAATGCTATTTTTTGAATTCTTTGCGGCGCAAAGCTTGAGTACATCGTATTTATGGATTTAATTGTTGAAAGATATTGATTCTGCCGCCTTGCTATATAGCGGTAAAGTACTGCTGTAAATTATCTTCTCTTTGGACGGTTTTCATCAACAAGTCGTACAAATTAGTGGTTTTATCTAATAAAGACAACCTAAAATCCTCCATTTCAGTTGCCCTGTAAACATGAAGGAACTGCGCTGTTATGCACAGTACAATGCCCTCAAAAATCTTCAAACAGCATTATAAAGAAAATTGCGCAAGGGGAATCTAATTCAGGACCACCTACTGTAGTATAGCGCAGAATCCTCCGCCCTCTAGCATGCGTAGGTATGTGTCTGTGTTTGTACCCAGTGATTATCATTCTTGATGTCGCATATGCAAGCGTTTTCTTAGAAAAAGTGCAATTCGACGCGCTCAGAAACGCATAGTACTTCTAGTCATTATCATAATATACAGCGTTAGGCTGTTTGAAATGTTGAAGCACGACTTTTATGAAGAA